AAGACACATTGGCTATACCTTTATGTAGTAACAGCAAGGTTGATGCAAATTATTAAAGATTTGAAGTTGTGAAAAATACATTACTTTGACCTAATAAATGTATATTCAAATTTGTGCCATAAAAATGAAGAATATGTACTTTAAAAAAAAACACACATTTCTCTTATCTACTTTAATAATTAAAGAAATTGAAGCAAAGGTGCTAGAGATTTGTTGTTGTTGTTGTTGTGTGTTTCTCAGAAATGGTCTTCGGAGAGATGTCTGGTACTAATGCTATTTGAAAGAAACAATCTATACCTTTAAATTACATAGCATTACAGACATTTTTAAATACTATAATTTACAGATTAGGGAGGGGGTAGAGAAATTTGTTTGGTAGTTGCATGTAATCTTTTTTTTTTAACTGCTTGTCAATAAAAGAGAGGCGTCTTTCTAGTATGGCTTATACAAAGCAGACTTGAAGAGTGTTTTTAGCACACACGGACCACTAAAACCATCCGATACAGTATAACAGAAAAAAACCCAAAATATAACTCATTTTGTAATCCGACAGATCATATTCAACATCCAGTACTATATTTAAGCTATACATTACAATGGAATAATAATAAACAATATCCCAGTGATAACCCTGGTCGAGTCTCTGACCAGGGCATTTCTAAGCTACATGCAGAACATTCACGTCCTTCAGCATGGTCTCCATTTATGTCACTGACCTGGAATGAAAGTACATTCATCTCTTCCTTCCAATGGCAAATGGTCCAGAGTGCCGTTCAGTAACTTTTCAAAATCATTGAGTCAGAATTCCATTTCCACAGGCCTTTAGAAACCAAAAATCCACCACTTCATGTCTTTCACCATTTGTTCTTTACCCCCCATCATTGAGGTTACCATGACATCATGAAACTGGTCATTGGACCCTCTCCGCATTTCAAGTTTTCCCCTCATTTTCTATCATGTCTTTTCTACTGAGGGAAGATATAATCATTATTTTCTCATTTGCCACATCTTATTCAGATGGGAAAGGGAAGCCTGATGCACGCAACATGGAAAACTGAACACATCATGTTGAATGACAATTGCAAAAGGAGAAACAGGGTTTGCTCTCACTTATAGGAAATAAACACGTACAGACCAAAGCTCAATGGTTAGGAGTGGGAGGGAGGGTGAAAGAAGTTTGCTTTTAGTGCGAAGGCACTGAGCTTGTGCTAAAGGTGGTGGCATACTTTGGAAAAGGAGGGAAACAATGGAGGCACAACTTAAAGGATTTGCCACATTGAGTACTGTTGAATTAATTGTAAATGTGGAAGTTGAGATGCGTGTGCAGAAAGACTTGAAGAAAATGTCAAACCCTGAATTGCAAGACTGAAGGATTCAATGGGCAAAATATTGGTGAATGCGGAAGCATCAAAGCAGGAAGGAATACACAGTGATGGTTGACATTCAGCCACTTCGGGTGTTAGCCTGTGATCCAGAGGCGGTGGCATTGAAATAAGTCCATGCTGCACTGAAGACATTAGTGTAAAACAAGCTCCTGGAACGGACAGAATACCAATGGAAACGTTTCGAAAAACCGATGTCGCGCTGGAAGCACTCAGTACTCAACACTAAGAAGTTTGGAGAAGTTACCTGGCCAACCGACTGGAAGATTCCTATTTATACCCAATTCAAAGGCGATCCAAGAGAATGCAGAGATTACCAAATGTGGATCTTTCCAATGATCCCGTGGCCTAATCTCATTAATATCACATGCGAGTAAAATTTTCCTCAAGATAATTAAAATAATTTTTTTTTTATCAGTGTATCAACAACGAATTGCCAAAAAGTCAAACCAGGTTCATACTTTGGACATCTGTCAGGAGAGACCAGTCCCTTGAAAATGGCACCGGGCTTGGTAGAGGATCGATGAAAAGTTGGAAGACCCTAAGTGAGATGAATTGACCCTTGACTGCAATACCAAACTCACCCAGGACAATCGCGAGGATAGTGCAGGACCAGGTAGTGTTTCGTTTTATGGCCAGCACCAAACAAAAGAATAAATGATCTGATTTTTCATCACTTGTGAAAATTAGGGGATTTACCACTCATTGCATTTTAAAACTTCCTCCCCAGTATGAATTCTTTGGTAAATTCTGAGATCCGTTACCTGAAGCCGTTGCCACATTCAACACATCTCTATGGTTTTGTTTCACTCTGCATTCTCTCATGATCTAAAAGGTGGATAAAAGCCTCACGTTCCATGTTCCATTTGTGTAGTTTCTCTTCAGGATGTATGAATTCCACTTAGTGGCTTTGGCACATTTCTCACATCTGTAAAGGGAACTATTCTTTGATGAATTAGTAAGGCTTGAATTTTAACTAAAGATCTTGTCACATAAAATTACATTTATGGTTTCTCTCTACTATGGAATGTCTTGGTGGTAAAGACGGAAACTCCTGATAATGCCTTGATCATATTTATTCTATTTGCCAAGCTTCTGCTTCCCGCCAGCTTGAATGCTTTCATAACTCCAAAGATTTGAATGCGTGAGGAAATCGTTACATATATTGCATTTGTAAAGCTGGTCTCCAAAATGGATTGTTTTCTGTTGGATAAGGATTAAGCACTTAGACAAGCTTTGCTACTGTCAATTAGATTGAAGGTTTGTCTCCAGTGTCGATTCTGTTGAGTAAGTTTTCAGAGCTGGATAAAGGTTTTACCACAATCATTACCTTTGAAAGGCTTTTCTCCAGTATGAATTCTCAAATGTGCCAAAGGGGTGTGAGTCTGGCAAAATCCTTGCCACATGTGTGGTTTGTCTCCAGTGTGGATTCTCTGATGTCTCATGAAGTATTATGACAGGCTAACGGTTTTTGAAAGTTTTATTTTTAAGATTTCTAATAGGAATGTGCAAGGCCCCACAAGTATGAATGTCTTCCTTACTACATTCATTCCTTTTGAAAGGTTCTCTCCATTGTGAATTATTTTGGTTAAGATTTGCATGATTGGTAAAGGCATTGTCGCACTCATTACATTTGTAAGGTCTCTAATCAGAACGAATTATCTGATGATTGGTGATAACTGAGCACCGGCTAAAATTCTCCCCATATTCATTACCTTTGTTAAGTTTTTCTCTAGTATGTATTTTGTGGTGTGCAAACAATGAAGGGTGCGTAATCACCTTCCATATTTATTACAAATGTTGGTTTTGCCACTTGTTCTTTGAAAGGGAGACACCAATATTTTAAGATTTATCAACTTTAATACATTTGTCTTTCTCCTCATTACAAGATGTGACTGGACACTAAATCCAATCTATTTTGCAAAGGTTTCATTTATTTTCTTCCCAATCTGTTATATTTTAGCTTTCAACAATTCTAAAAGTTGAAGTTATGTTTGAAATATTGATCTGGACTTCAACAGATATATTTATGTTGTTGTTAAAATTACTTCAGGAAGTGCTGTGTTCATGATGCATTACGCCAGTGAGATTTTTGTTAGGGTCCTAGATATGCCTTTGTAATTTCTTTCATTATGACCCTCACTCTTATCATGTTTTCCTGGAAATCCCTGCAGTCAAAATCCTTCAATATTATGGCTCTCATAACTTTTATTCTTACTAAATTTTGGCAAAATGCTCCTTTAGTAATCTCTTTGGTGATAATTTCTGGTCATAAACCTAGCATATGCCTGAAAGATATATAAAACCATAGGCTTCCTATTATTTAGAATTGGAAGGTTAATATTTTATATTGAGAAATGTAGTATTATAGGAAAATAATGTGACAGTGATGAAATTTTCCAACTCTGGTATTCAAAAGTTTAGAAACACAGATAAAGAAAGGGTGATTACATGGAATCAGAGGAGGTTTTCATAGACATTTAAAGCACTCTTCACCTCACAGCAAACATATGGTCTCATATTTGAAAATGGTTTAACATTAGCATACATTTAGCATATAATTACTGAACATAAAAATTGCTAAAACATAATCCTCTTTAATGTAGTAAATAATCTACGAGGGGGTCCACCACGCCCACCAAAAAAACAGAGAAAAAAGCTCCGCTGGGCAGAGCTTTTGTAGTAGGCATTTTTAACACGAGGCGAGCATCAAGCAACTCCCTCTGAGCTAGTGCACCCAGTGGCGCATCCTGGGAAGGTTCTCTCTGGTCACAGAGGATTTTTTTTGTAAAAGCAGTTTCACTCAAACCTTGTTTTTGTGATTGCTGGTTTAAGAGAACAGGGTGTGGCTGTGAAATGTTGTTGCTTGCTTGGGAAGAAAATGTTGCAGTAACTGTGGTGATGAACCCAGCCCACAGGGACAGCACTATGGAAAAAACTCAAGCGTACAAGTGGTTTTGTTTCAAAAAAGGTGAAATGTCAATTGATGACAAACCTTGTTCTGGACATCCGTCAACTTGCTGAATGGTACAAATTTTGAGTCAAAGTGCATTGAGTTTGTTCCACCAGGTGAGACTGTTAATCAAGCGTTCTACTTAGAGGTTCTGAAAAGGTATCGTACAATAGTATGTGACAAAAAAGGCCTGTTTTGTGGCAGACAGGAGACTGGTTTCGCCATGACAATGCACTTGCTCATGCAACCATCTCGGTGATCCAGTTTTAGGTAAAAAAACAACAACAGCATGCCTCTCTTGCCCCACTCACATTATTCACCTGACTTTTCTTGGTGTGACTTCTTTTTGTTTCCACAATTGTAGAGGGACATGAAAGGGCAGCGATTTGATGACGTAGAAGAGGTGAAGGGAAAAAAACACGAGGGAGGTGCTGTCAGTCATCCAAACAGATGAGTTTGAAAAATGTTTCCAAGAATGGAATCAAAGATTTGACAAACGTATTAAGTGTGAAGAAGAGTAATTTGAAGGTGAGATGGTTGCTTAATAAAAAAATTTAGAAGCATAGCTTTGAAAAACAAACAAACAAAACCCCTGCTTTTTGGGGGTACCCCCCTCGTATAACAAACATAAAAGTAAATGGTAAGTCAGAATTAGAAAACCAAAATTGCACTAGGAAAAATCAAGAAAAATTTAATAAAACTTCAGAGAATAACAAAATATTCTACATACGTGTTACAAAACAATCGATAAGCGTAAAGAATGGACACGTTTGTAACATGAATCGTTGGTGCCTGGCTGGTTGCTATATGTTGAATGTTGATGTTCAGTGCCTTCAGACAGGTTGGCTCAGAATGACACTGTTTCCAGAATGAAACTGGTCCTGTGCCATCTTCACAACTGTTAGCTAGGTCTGAGCCCACTTGGCAGCTCTCGTGTCCGTTCATTTCATTGCGGGTCTTCTATTTTCACTGGCCCGCCACCGAGCATGAGGTCCTTTTCCCAGGGCACGGTCCCTCCTGAGAAGCTCCAAGTATGTGACAGGAAGTCTCACCATCCTTGCTTCCAAAGAGCATTCTGGCCGTACTTCTTCCAAGACGGACTTGTCTGTTTTGCCACTGAGAGAGGAGACTGAGCGAGTGAATCAAGACAAGGTGCTGAAGGACTTGTGTGTGGCTGGCTAATGGTCCTGACTGTCCACCTGAATCTTAAGATATTTTATCATGCACAAGTAAATTTGGCATTAAATCTATACAAAACTGAAAAAAATGTCAGAATTCATGGTTTTTTAAAAAACCTCACACATATACAAGTCTAATGGAGTCATTCAAATTTTTCGATCCTATGTAGGAACATTATCTGAGGATTAAATTGTGTTCCTTTGTTGAATCTCAACACATGAGTTTAATGGTGACAGCTGTTGTCTCTATCAAAAATATTTCTCATTGGTGTGAGATGTCTAAGAAGGCAACATTTTATTCTAATCTACATAGGGCTGCCGTGAGCCAGAGCCAAAACAATGGCAACTAATAACTAGTTTCTCTTTGAAGGAGAAATTATTTAAAGAAAAAATATTTTCAAAATTGAGGGTTTTAGGTGGTTGGAAAAAAACAACAAGGGTTCAGTCAAGCTCCATTACATATGGTAATATTTTCTCTAGTTTTGAATTGCTCGAATATTTCCAGGCTCATACTCACTTCTCAAATGTAATCAAATCACAAGTTTCTTGACATTTCAGATTCCATTTTACATATTGTCTTCTTAATACTTTTTCTAAATGTCACAATAATTTTGAGAATGTCAATTATGACAATATTGTATCATTACTCTTAAATAGGCAATAGTATATATATATTTTTGGCAATAGTATTTTATATACTTTTGTTGTAAAAATATATTCAATATTTTCCAAGTGAACATTTTTAGGTGTAGAATTTAGTGACATCAATTACATTAATCTGCAATCATTACCCATAATCATGACCCAATTTCCCATCATCATAAACTCCCTGTTTCTTACGCAATGACTTTCCTTCTCCATCTGTCCTGTGGCTAATACCAATAAATTTTGGTCTATACATTTGCCTATTCTTGTTTTTCATGTAAGTAAAATCATACAAGGGGGCAACATAAAGCTCATGGAAAAATTTTATTATCTTTTAACTCATTTTTTCCCCACAAACTTTTTGAAGCCTATATACACATACGATAATATACTGCATCATTGTGACCCATACGGGTCTTCTGTGGCAGTTACTGTGTGTGTAATATGTATATATATCTCCATCTGTAATTTTATACATTTAAAAATCACTTATCTGACAGGTTATACAAAAATGTACCACAGACAAGATGACTCGTGACTCTTTAGTTTGTTGATCCTTGTATAGATTACAAATGTTTCCAGGTGGGAAGTTGTGGAAAAACTTTCACCATCATGCACTACTAGCAGGAATAAAACATAGTAGCTAGAGTAGAAATCAGTTTGGTGGTTTCTCAGAAGGTTGAACATAAAACTACCACACGATCCAGCAATTCCATTCCTAAGCATATAATAAGAAGACATGATAACAGGAACACAAAGCTATACACCAGTGTGCCTGGAAGCACTTTTCACAGAAGCCCAAAGGTGGAAACAGCCAATTCCACCAACAGATAAATGGATAAAGACAATGTGATACACATATAACGGAATATCACACATCTAACTTCTGTCAGAACATGGACAGATGCTAAAAATCTGCTGTGTCACAACAGGGCATACACAGTTTGACCTGACTTATGTAAAGTGAGTAAATATATAGATACCCAAGATTATTGCTAACCGGGGCACAAGAAAGGCAGAGCAATAGTTTGGGGGACAGAGTTTATATTAATGGTAGTGGTAGAGTTTGGGAGAGTACAGAAGTAATAGTGGCACAACGTGAAAACGTAATCAAAGCCATAAACTGTCATGGTGGAAGTTGTGCTGGTTAATGTTTTGACATATTTTTACCACACATCAAAAAAGGGCCTGGTGAAAATATAATGGTATGGTCATATTCATGAAGAGTGATGTAGCGGTCAGGGAAATTGAATCTGAAATGGCAAATTTTTTTACTACCCATATAGATGCTCAAGAGCTAGAGTGTGGTGACAGTAACTCGGGTACACATCATTTGGTATCGGCAAGCCCCAAATTGCATATTGTTTGATTTCGCTGTGGGAAGAAAGGACCACAGATGCCATTCTTCCTTGAGAGTATAACACGCTTGTTTGTTATTCAGTACCTCAGCGATACGGGATACATTTAACAGAAGGAAACAACTCGGATTGTGAAAAATTATGGAATTCAAGTGAACTCTTGATAGATTCTAAATAAAAGGGAGCAAAATCCATAAGGCTAACTGTAACCCTATCTATGCACTATCGTCTCATTCTTTTGCTTACTGATCCCTTCTGATAACTTCTGCAGATTACAAACAAAAACCCAAACGCCCTGCCATCAGGTTGATCTCGGTTCAGAGTGCCCTTCTGAAGAACTGGCCCTGCGGACTTCCCAGCTGTGATCTTTCCAGCACTAGAAAGTCTCGTTTTACGCCTGCGGAGTAGCTGGTGGGTTCAAACTTTGCAACCCGCTACTCTGCTTGGTCTCCGATCGTAATTTTTTTTACATGAATTTTCACTACTCAACAGCTATTTACTTTCAAAGGAGAAACTATCGTTTACCTCTATCATTCTACCATTGGAAGGCTTTTCAAACGTCCGTGGGAAAATTCCATGGCCTTTCTACTGCATTTTGCCACAAACTTTTCAGTGTCCCCTAGCAGTCCCTACTAATCAGGAAAACACTTCACTAAGATGCTCTCCATGTTCTCCCCTTTCCCTTCGGTTTTACGGCTGGCTGATCCGCACTCCTTTCCGATAACACCTGGTGGCCCTCTGCCATACATCACACTGGTAGAAAGGAAGGTTGCACGTATTAAATATAATGACTCAGGGTCATAGTTTTACATCGGTCCCCTTCCCCTACGCCAGTGTCTTTCCGCTACGCCATACTGTAGGAATGACCTCTACGGGAAGCAGGCTCACTTTCAGCATGCTGGTCCCTTTCTGGCGGACTTCACGAGGGCCCTTGCGATGTTTGTGAAGAAGGCCTAACGTCAATCATCTTCCACGCCTCTGGCTGATTGACAGCAATAGTGTATAAGCTTCCAAAGAAACCTCAGATACAAGTAGATGATAAACTCAACCGAATGGGACTTGCCAGCAGACCCTCTTGCTCAGGTGACACTCAACAATGCACGGCTTGTCAATGACTTTGACCTGCACTTACTCAGGAGCTTGCACAAGTGAAGTTAATTTTCAAGTGGAACGACAGATTGAGTTCACTTAAGAATGGATGTTCTGATGTTTGGTCCGTGGTGGAGTTGGTTAAACAATATGCCACGTTCGCTGCACTTGTGTGAGGTCTCTCTCCATTGTGGACTCTGGTGGATCCGGAAGCCACACCATGGCCTAAAGGCCTTGCCATTCAAAACATGCATATGGCTTCTCTCCAATATGCATTCTCTCGTGTTCCCAAAGGTGGGACCGCTTGAGAAAAGCCTTCTCACACACATGGCATTTGTATTGTTTCTCTCCAGGATGTATATTCTGATGCCGAGTGAGGCTTGAGTACTGCTTAAAGGCTTTGCCACATTCATTACATTTGTAAGGTCTCTCCCCAGTGTGGATTCTTTGATGAATATTAAGGCTTGAATTCTGACTAAAGGCCCTGCCACATATATTACATTTATATGGTTTCTCTCCTGTATGGATTCTCTTGTGTTGAGTAAGATTTGAACTCCCGGTAAAGGCTTTCCCACATTCGTTACATTTATAAGGCTTCTCTCCAGTATGAATTCTCTCATGACCCCAAAGGTGTGAACGTGTGGGGAAGTTCTTACCACATACCTTACATTTGTAAGGTTTCTCACCAGTATGGATCCTCTGATGTTGAGTAAGGTTTGAGCGCTCAGTAAAACCTTTGCCACAGTCATTGCACTTGAAGGGCTTCTCTCCAGTATGAATTCTTTCATGTCCCCAAAGGTGTGAACTTATGGTGAAATCCTTTCCACATATATTACATTTATACGGCTTCTCTCCAGTATGGATTCTCTGATGCCTTGTGAGATTTGAGAGGCGGTTAAAGGCTTTACCACAATCATTACATTTGTAAGGTTTCTCTCCTGTATGAATTCTCTCGTGACCCCACAAGTAAGAACGTCTGGTAAATTCCTTCCCGCACTCATTACATTTGTAAGGTTTCTCTCCACTGTGGATTCTCTTGTGTTGAGTGAGGTTTGAACGACCAGTAAAGGCTTTGCCACATTCATTGCATATGTAAGGTCTCTCCTCAGAGTGCGTTCTCTGATGTTTGGTGAGAATTGAGCATTGGCTAAAAGCCTTCCCACATTCGTTGCATTTGTAAGGTTTTTCTCTAGTGAGCATTTTCTGATGTTGGGTAAACAATGAAGGATGCACAATCACTTCGTCATATTCACTAAAAATGTTCACTTTGTTATCTGGAATACTGCTGCGAGGTGGTGAAGCTGATGAGCCACTGTTGATAAATGTCTCAACTTGATTACAATCATATATTTTCTTCTGAATTTGAAACCTCTGCATTTCAGCTAAATGTGTCTGAAAGCTGAATCCAATTGTATTTTGTAAAAGTTTCCTATATTTTATTCCTGCATAGTCTATGTTATGTTTCAGTTTTAACAAATTTTTTACAAATGAGTACTGTTTGAAATACTGATATGCACTTTCGCTTACAGAGATACTCTGATTTAGTGGTAAACTAGTCCAGGATTGGTTAAGCTGTTGGCCTCTGGTACCAAATATGCTTTTGTTATGGGTCATAAGCACTCCTTCATAATTTTGTTCGTCAAATGTCCACTGACTTTCAAGTTCACACTTGTTTTCCCTGACATTGTTGAAATAAAAATCATCAATACCATGGCTTTCTTGTTCTTTCACTATCACAGGTTGATATAGTTCTCCTTTATTTTCATTTTTCAATGGTAATTCCTTGATCACAGAATTAGTAGAGATATCTGAAAGATACATAAAAGCCGGGCTTCCTATTAGACTTGGAAGGTAAACATTTTACATTGAGAAACAATATTACAGAAAAAGTAATAATTTCAAATGAGAGCGTATGAAACTTTGCAATTAGACTTCCATAGCATAGAGAATTGGATTTCTCAATAAAGAAATAGGTGATGATATGTAATTATTGGCATTTTCCCCCAGTCATCCCAAAGCACATATCCACTCAGAAGAGACGTAGGGAGCTCTTATAGTTGAGATGAAATGGACGTGTGATTCCAAACTAAAAAACCAAGTTCATTGTCATTGAGTTCATTCTAACTCACAGTGACCCTACAGGACAGAGCAGAACTGCCCTCCAGACTCCTGAGTTTGTAAACATTTATGGACAGAAACACTCATCTATCCCGAGCAAGAGAAAACAACGGAAGTGAACAACAGACAAATGGAAACCCCTGGGAATAAAAACTAGGATGCTGTTTTGAGGATTAAGTGTTTTGACAGCTCCTACGTAATTCTTTGGACTCTATAAGGTCCTGCACATACCTGCGTGTGGATTCATTCATGCTAAAGAAAAGCTCTGGAAATCACCAAAGCGTTCACATTTTCAGAGAGAATCAGGCACTCTGCCAGCAGAAAGGGAAACTGTGGCGGAGTTCTTCACTGTCTGGCTAAGTGTCTAACATGTTCCCAACATACACACAAGGTCAATCTGCTAGAAGTGGGAGGGTTTTTGTTGTTATTGCTCCAGGGTTTCAGGCAATCTCTGCAAATCAGTACTGATGACTCAAGCAATCGAGAGATTTCAGTGGCCACATAGGAAAAAAGGATATAAAATGAGAGCCTAGGGGTTAATAAACAAATATCACCAATGATAACACTCAATAACAATCCAGGGAAGGAGTAGAATTGGATTTTCAGATTTGCCACAACATAAAAAGGAGCTTCAAAAAGTTTGTGGGAAAATTCCATTACTTTTGTTCAAAATTTCCACAACTTTTTGAAGCCCTTTTGTAATAGTAAAAAATATAAAGAAATTATGCTTTTGAATGATTGTATTGGTGAAGAATATTGAATCTACCAGGGATGCCAGAAGAGTGAATAAATTTGTAGTACAATGAGAAGGCTCCTTAGAAGTGGGGTTAGTGACGCTTTATCTCACACACTGTAGACATATTATCAGGCGTCCTGCAAGAAGACATCGTGCGTTGTAAAGTCGAAGGTTAGTGGAAAAGAAAACTGTTAGTGAGTGACAATGGACTGACACAGGGGCTGTAACAATGGGCTCAGACATACTAATGATTGAGAATGGTGCAGGAATGGGTAGTGAGAATTTCATCTGGTGTACATGGGGCCACTAGGAAAGGGCATCTAACAATATTAAAAATGCTAGCTTTTAGAACACACAGGGCAGGTGAGGCAAAAAGTAAGAATGTATCCATACGGCGGAAATAATAATAAAAATCGGACCTGAGTAAGTTCCAGCAATGGACTACTAGAGAAACACTTTTAAGTATTTTGTGGAACGTTATCCAGTACCATCAACATATGTATAATGGGTGTCCCAAAAGGAGCACAAATTTTGAAGTTAAAATGGTTAAAAACGTCCAAAATATGAAGAACCGCGTGAGTCTACATATATAAGACACTGAACATATCCCATGCAGGAGAAACGTGAGGAAATGTGAACCTAGACGCATTCAGAGAGGAAGACAACGAAAGAATCTGAGAGCAGCAAGGGCAAGGCAACCAGTCACAGAATAGGGGAGGGAAGGGATCTTTAATAATATTAACACCTGATTTTTCCTCTAAAACCCTGGAGGCCAGAAGGTAGTAAAAAGACATGTAATGTCCTGAAAGAAAAAAAACTGACAACCAAGAATTCTGCATTAGGCAAAACTATCCTTTAAAAAGGAAGGAAAAATCAAGACATCCTCAGGTTAACAATAGCTGAAAGTTCATCAGTAGCTATTCCCTATTAGAGTGCTAAAATGTGCTGTGGTTGAGGATGTACAGAAACTGAACCACTAGTGCACAGTGGTAGCAATGCAAAGTGGTGTCAATTCTGTGGAACATAGTTTGGCAGTGCCAAACATAGATTTCCATATGATCGACCAACACCACACCTACCTAGATGCCCCAAAGAATTGTAAGCATCAAGTTAGACAGACACATGTGGACTACTGTGCACTCTGCCATCACTCACAGCAGTCCAGAGGTTGAAACAGTGAAAGTGCCCATCAACAGATGAAGGGATAAGGAAAATGTGGTACACTGTGATGAGGTGAAATTTCTTAATACGGTTCTTTTATCCACGCCTCTAACTCCCACCAACTGACTAGGTGCGACTTTGCAAATAGGGTGTGTAAATACTAATAGGGGAGGATCGGGCAGTTTTGCTGTTCCTCTAGCTATGAGAATGGGGCATCTCAGAAGCAGGAAAGGAGAGAATCCCAGGATCACCAGGGAAGAACCACCAGTCTAGCATATTTGTGTAAAATGGCGGAGGCGGAGAACAGAGCCACCAGAGGCTGCAGACTGAAGACCACAGAACAGAGGAGCCATGGCACGACAGAGCGGAGGGGTGTACCGGTGAGACTGGAGACAGTGAGGTGGAATGGCAGGTGGGCTTGCTGGCTAAGGACAGGCATGACTGCATCCGCACTGTGTGCTGATCCTGACTTATGGTAACCTAAGAACTTCCTTAATAAGTCCCCATAAGTGTGAGGGTCGTCTTTGAGTTCTGTGTTGCCGTCGCAATGAATTACGGAACCCAGTAGAAACTTAGTTACGTCATGTGGGGAGCGCTTGTGGTCAGAACAGGGGAAAAGAAAGATGGGAAGGTGGAGATATTTGACCTCTGCCTGGTGGCACATGGCTCTGGGATGGGGTAGAGACAGGGACTCCTTTCCTCACGGAAGCCGGGGGAGGTCAGCTATGACCCAAGCTCCCTTTTCGTACATACTGTGAAAGCTATGAGAGCCGGGAAATGAAAGACTGTCTTGTTTCCTTACCACTTTTCTATCACTTACTTTTAGTGGGAAATATTTGAGTTTTCCATGTCTGACAAGTTTTTGCCTTATACAGGTTCCAGCTTTCAGGGCACCACAATGAAATATTGCTCAGTTATCCAGTTCTGATACATGTTAACACGATTGAAACTTAAAATCATTATGCTAACTAAAATACATCAGCTCTGAAAGCATAAATATTGCATGGCTGTGCTTAGGAACTATCTAAAAGAAGCAGAGCCTTCAAAACAAAAGCTTGGTTATCAGGAACAGAAAGAGTGTGGAGTGGGGTTTAAAAAAAAAAAGAACATAAATCCTCATTCAATAAGAAATTCTCATTAAATGACAGGTCAATGGAGTTAGAATGTCTTCTTGGAACTATGTCCATTGACTGGGTAAAGATAAATTCATCAGGATGATCATTTGCTCAATTTAATGTCAGTGATTCTCAGGCTTTCACATGTATCAGTCACCTGGATGGCTTAATCAGGTAGAGATTATTGGGTGCCATGACCAGAATTTCTGATTCAGTGAGTTGGAAGACAAAGTACACCTGGAACATCAGCCATCCTTGAGACATGACATGCTCAGCCCCGACACTAGACACAATGAGTTCGGGACTGTGCGGTGATGCCCAGCAGTCTGTCCTGGGGATTATCACGCGCGGTCAAGTTGAGAAGCAACAGAGTATTAGATCCTGTAGAGAATGCCACACATCATGGCCTTTATAGAATGAAAGTTTTTTGGTCTTAATTTTGTTTTAAGATGTTCTAACACAAACGGGGAGCTGATATCAGGGGCTCAAGTGGGAAGAGAATGCTTTGAAAATGCTGATGGCGGCATATGTGCTTGACACATTGGAGGAATGTATGGATGGTGATAAGAGCCCCCCGATAAAAGTATTAAAAGTTTTTTAAGTGGCTCCGACTGACGTCGTGAAAGGAACCCGCCTCAGCGTTCCGTCTCTCTTCTCCTCCCTGGCCGTTCCCGCTCTTCACCAGAGACCCTCTTTGTCATGAGAGTGGATCACGCAGACTCAACACAGAGGTATTCTACATTTGTAAGTGACCAAGGAGTCTGGTGGCATAGTGGTTCCACAATGGGCTACTGAGGGCAAGGTCAGCAGTTTGACACCGTCAGCCACTCTGAGGGAGAAAGATGAGGCTCTCTACTCCTGTCGAGAGTCACCGTCTCGGAAACAAACAGGGGCGGTTCTACGCTGTCCTACAAAGTCTCTAGGCGTCGGCATGGACTTCTAACTGACCAGATAAGTCTGATGAGAAGTCGGAGGACTTATTAAACAGTGGTAAAGTCTTAATGAACAATTGGGATCGTAACGTTACTGATAACGCGGTCTCACACGCCCCCGCAATAAAAATATCGACTCCCACTGGTGTTTATCACTAAGAATATTGGCGGAGGTAGCTAAAAGAACATCTGTGGGCGTGTTGCTCAAGCACTGGTCAAAACACGGGTGTTCCTGTAGAGGTAAGTGACCCTTTGTTTTACACCGGATGATGACACACAGTGGTCCTAGATTTGGGCCTCAGGAAGGGTGGGGGCAGGGAGGAAGTGAAGACATTACTAGATAATGAAAACTCGGGGAGTTCATCACTAGTGGTCCCCTCCTACAGGAAAAGGAAAAGGAGTTATGTAGGCTAAAATGAAAGCAAATCAGAGACGAACTCAAAACCAGACACACACAAAACCAAAGATTATTGCAAAAGTCCATTTAACCCTATAATGCCTGAATTTCTAATTTCAGGAAAAACATTTTTTTTTGTTTTTATTCTTTACTTTCATAGTTATCAACATATATAACAACCAAAATATATTAAAAAAAAATAAAATAAAAATATATAAAATTTGCAATGTTTTTAAAATGTAACCAAATTGTCACATTTGTAATTTATAATTTCAGTACCAGAAACGTTTTAATTAAATGTTCCGAAAACATTGCACTCGGCGTTTTAGGGATAAACTGATTATTAATGTATTTTTTATCAAGTCCTTTTCTTCCCCTCTGATTCAAAAAAGAGCTATTGTGCTCGCTTCAGCAGCACATACATTAAAGTTGGAATGATGTACAGAAGACTGGCATGGCCTTTGTGTGAGGATGACCACCCATTTCCAGAAGCCTTCCATACATTCTTTTAAAATTATAACCCTTTAATCCCCAAAAGAGGGTGAACAAAACAAAACAACCACTACAAACCGATGCTGATCAGCACACAATGCTTAAAGATGTAATCTGTGACATGAACAAGATGGAGAGGAATGGGGCTGTAAGGTAGCAGTTACGGCATACAGTTGACCCTTGAACAACACAGGGGGTTGTGATACCAATGCTCCATGCAGCTGAAAATCTGCATGTAACCTTTTATTCCCCCAAAAGTTAACCAACAGAGAATTGTCAGTTAGTGGGAAAGCAACCCACTCACATTATACTAATTTATTGATATGGAAGGACTTCTGCTATTTGTTTTATGTATGTTTTGCACCTCTGTGATTATCTCTTTATTGACCAGGAGTCTTGCCGGTAACATAAATGGTTGATGAACACATTCTTTGCATGTTCTGCTATATAAGGAGCTCTGGTGGCAGTGGGTTATGCGCTGAGTAGTTAACCATAAGGTCAGCAGTTCAAACCCACCAGCTGCGCCATGGGAGAAAGACATGGCTGTTAAGATTTACAGTCTTGGGAACTCAAAGAGGTAGTTCTACTCTGCCTATTATATATTGCATGCGCATAAAAGCTGTATTGTCAACATAAGACAGAAAGGAATTTTGCAGTATGTGTAAGGTTTTTGACTCTACCAGTAAAGCAATTTGGCTTCACAAATTTTCTTTTCTTTTACAATAGGCCTTATGATGGATTCAGTTATACTGAAATGGCGGGCAACCCATTTGCAGATCTCAATCTTGTTATCAAGCTGTTTAAGTTTTTCTTCTTGGGAGCACTGCCACCAATACTCGTGTGGCACTTCTATGGGTCCCAGGTCACTCAAGATGTGCAGTATTGAACCAAACTCAATGAGCAATATCCAAGCACTGGGAAAGAGGATTTTCTCACAGTAATATGCATTTGACTGGAGAGACAAACTGCTCCCATGGTGATTTTAAAAACATTCGAATGCAAGTAGATTCTCAAAGTTCAAATACATGTTATTTAAGGGTCAACTGTACGATGAAAACTAAGTTGGGGTTAATTCAAACTAGATCATTATAAATTATGACATTAGCTATACAGTACTGACTTGTTAGGCAAACGTAACACCATATATAAGGGCTGTTGTGCTAAACACACCCCTTGCGAGGTGTTTTTGTAAGCACATTACTCTAATTTTTTGACAGCAACATGTGTTAAAAAATGAGATAGCATGCTTATGAAAAGAACTTTGGTGGGGGGAGGAGGTGGCGGGCCCAACATGCAGGAAATGTGGAAGTGATTTGTGTGGAAAGATGGTAATTGCCAGGGCAACTAAAAAAGCCACCCTAAAAGATAGCAGAAGAGAATGAGTTGTACAGTCGAAACTACTACCCAACACGAGTAGTAAGAGAATCCTTGATAAGCAAAGCTTTTAAGGATACAAAAATTACAATGGCAAAACTGCTTCCTCATCAGTAACTGAGTAAGTGGATTACATTCTCCATGTAAAGAGCAGACATGGACGGTATGGATTAAGAGAGAAAAACACAACACAGAAAAAAAAAAATCACAAACTTAGAAGAAAAAAAAAAAAGCTGGAAGGTCTATGTTTTTCCACACGTCAACAGAAAATGGAGTAAAGGAAGGGGCCCGATTTTGTGGGGATTCTGAGAAAGGCTCTCCCCGGAATAAAAGCCTTTCAAGACTGAGCTGCGTTTTTCTGTCTACTGCTACAGCTGTTGGCTGCTGCTGAGTTGGGCCCTGACCCATGGCGACCCCAGGCATCCAATCAAACCTTTGTGATCATACGTTTTTTCATTAACTCATTTTCAGAAGTAGATCAGTAGGCCTTTCCACTTTAGTCCATCTCAGTCTGGGGCCTTGACTGAAACTTGTTCAGGGCCATAGCCCTTTGTGTGGCTGAGAAGAAACGGTATCACAGATGGGTCTGGGGGTTCACAAATCTCTACAGGGACTGAGATTCTTAAAAGATGCAGACAGCCCTTTTCTAAGAAAGCAGCAATGTATCAGAAGCTCAGGGGGTAAAAACCAGGGAAGCAGGTACTTTTAAGGTTGCCCATACATACTTTTAAGGTTGCCCATACATACTCAAGTTCCAGAGCCACCGCTGACCTGGTCTGCAGAGGACAGATCATAAGAAGAAAAGGAACCTCTCAAAGTCGGGACACTGCGCTAAGAAGCTTTTCTGTGGCTAATCAAGTTCAACGTCGGCCTTGAGAACTGTGGTTTGAAATTATACCATTCAAGGCAAAGGCTCTCAAGAGTTCACAAGGAAACGACACACAGAGCAGATCCTGCCTTTGAAAGGGAAGTGATCCTCACCCAGGGAGACCAGGTTCCTGTAGTTCTCCAACATCACGTCCTTGTACAAAGTCCTCTGAGCAGGGTCCAGGCAGTCCCACTCCTCCTGAGAGAATTCTATGGCCACATCCCTGAATGTCAACAGTTCCTGTAACAGAAAGCACACCTCACCGAGTGGACACGGGAGACTTTCTATCTTCACACAAAAAAAATAAATGAGCGGAAGAGAAGGTATTAAGGACTGCTTAGATCCACAAGTGCTAACTTGGAGCAAGTTATTATGTGCCTAATTTTGTTAGACGTTTTCATCAGATGATGATCCTCAATTTCTAGAAGGTCAGAGCAGGAGTGGGGTCTTCAGGAAAGACAAAATCCATGGTGGCTTCGAAAAAAGGTCTCCCCTGAGAAGCCAAACTCCCTGCCATCAAGTCAAATCTAACTCACAGTGACCGAATAGGACAGGACAGAGCCGGCCCTGTGGGATTCCGAGGCTGTTAAGTCTTTACTGCAGAAGGAAACTTCATCTTTCGCCCAAGGAGCTGGGTGATTTTAAACTGCCAGCCTGGCTGTTAGCAGCCCCACGTGTAGATGATTTTAAACTGCCAGCCTCGCTCGTTGGCAGCCCCACGTGTAGCCCACTGTCCCACCCGGGGTCCTGAAGAAAGGTCAAAATCTAAATATGGTAATAATGAGAGTACCAACAAGCAATATGTTTTTGAATACTTCCCACGTACATGTATGAACTAAGGCAATGACATAAGAATCCATTAGTGATGGGTATGTCCACATGTTACAAAGGAGAACATTGACACGCTGACCATCTTCCTGCAGGTCAAACAGCTAATAAAGGACAGTCAGAGCCTGAACGCGGATGACCCGGCAGAGGCTAACACAGAGCGTTAGGAAATGGAATAGGACTAGAGGGAGGCGGAAGGGTTCAGGCTCTGTTCAGCACGTCGGCTCTCTTTCTTCTGCTCCCTTGGTCACCAGTCACAGCCCAATGATCACAATGGTGACGCGGGTCAAAGGCAGGGCGGTTCTTAGGCAGCGCTGCGCAATGCTCGAGAGAGACTTATCATAGTTGACTTCTCGGCCACATGGAATGTGAGCTTTGCACAATGACCAAGTCTTTCTAATATTCCCTCTCTGAAAAGCATGGCCAAGCGGCGTTCCTCGAAGTTGAGGGGGATGGCTGTCAGGATGTAGAGTCAGGCTCCAAAAGTGGATGGATTTTTTTTTTGGGTACAAATAAAGGAAAACAATGTCACCATTCATGAATTAAGCACATTATGTTTTCAGAAAACGTAACTAGCCATAAGCTGTTGAAATCGCTTGTTTTTATTAATCATTTTATCGGGGGGCTCTGGCGAATCTTATGACAATCCATTCATCAATGGTGTTAGGCACACTTGGACATACGTTGCCATCAACATTTCCCAAACATTTTCTTTCTACTTGAGCCCTTGGTATCAGCTCCTCTTTTTGTATCCTCCTTCCCCCTCCAATCCACCCTCATGAATCCTTGATCAATGATATATTATTGATGTTCTTTCGTATCTTTCACTGTCTGCAGTCTCCCTTCACCCACATGTCTGTAATGGGTCCCCGTGGGGGGTGGGCTATGTATCCAACCCTGTGATGGGTTCCCGTTTTCTTTCCTGACGAAGCAGAAAAATCAAGTACAAAGACTACAGATGCCCAGCGGCCGTCTGAGTGTAAATAACAACAACAAAGGTAATTCTGATTTAAATAACTAAAAATATGTTGAAAAAGTGTCTCCTGAGAAAATGTGAAAAGAAGTTGAAAAGAAAAAAGAAGTTCAAGGCCAACAGCATAGAACGGGATAAAAGAGTACTAGAATTAAGTGCATTCACACATAATGATTATTCCATTGACTCGTTAAATGTTGTTGTCAGAAGAGAACTCGATTCTATATTTCAACACCAATTATAGAATACAATATTCTCTATCACGGATGTCTATTTTGAAGATTTCACTCAATTCCAAATGATTTACTGCTTCGTACCAAAAGCACTGCTTGATTCATTTACCTTCAGATGTACTGTAAGTCAGGTGGAGCAGGTATTCTCATATTAGTCTTCCTTACTAGACTTTTCCATGGGCTCTAGCATATCAGTACAGCACACATATGTGCTAGTCCACACAGAGCTGACAGGGGATTGAGATATGGCCCCTGACTTCTTCCTGCCGCCCACCCTCACTCCTCCCATTAGACCTACTCCCCATCTCTCACTCGGGCTTGGTGTAAAGTCTTTCCCAGCATGCTCCCCACATGGAGCCTGCTCACAGTCCCAGTTCCCTGGGATGACATGTCATGATGACATGGATTCTGCGTTGAAGTGAGAGAGGATGAAGGAAGGCCATGGGTGAGGGGGAGCTAATGTTTCAGGGCACAGAGGAAATGAACAAATGTCAGGTGATAGCTTTTCAGAAGGGACAGGGCAGAGCCACCGACTCAGACAGTTACCTGGGACTCAGCCATTCTGGATGCCTTGATCTCTCCTTCTTTTAGCTTCCTTTGAAGGTAAGGTCAGTCTTGAGAAGTCAATTCTGCATGTTGGGGAAAAAAAATGCTGTCAAGGGCATAGAATGAAGTTATTTCTATCCTATTTCGGCCACATGTATAACTGAGAGAGAGAGAGAGAGAGAGAGAGAGAGAGAAAATATCTCCGTGGGGAAAAAGGGTTCCTGCTGCCCACTGCCCCAGGAGGACTTGGGGACAAGCAAATCGTACATGGAGACCAGTGGGAGAATTTATTGCCCTCCCCTTTTAAAGACACCCTTACAAGGCTGCAGCAGGGCTGGACTGACCACCCCTTTAAGGCCCCAGGCCAGGCCTGGCATCATACCCTGTTCACAGCAGAGGGCCCTCAGCTCCCCTGGACCAGGGAGGGGTCTCAACCTCAGAAATGAAGCGCCCAGAGTTTTGAGCTGAAAGCTGGCTGCAGAGGAGAACACCAGAGGTGACTAAACATTTTTTACGATGCACCCCACCCCATCTACTGGAGGGGCTTCCCTGGGGGAGAAGGCCTGAACAATGAACAGTCCTTACTAATTATGGAGGGATTTAATTCTCAGACCCCCTGGGATTACCCAAATAGGAGGGTGCCCAGGTCTCTTTGGTGAAATGGCATAGTATTTACATAGAAACTACATACCATCTTCTCCTGTACTTGAAATCACCTCTAGATAACTTAGGATGCCCAGTTCCACTTCATGCCATGTAAATAGCACTTGCAGATCCCTCAGCCTTTGAAGACT